CAACCTGTCTTTCTTTCACCTCCAGCACCAAGTTGCCAGCTTCTTCCCCTCATGCAGTTCCCCTATAGCTTCAGTAATCCTTTCATTAAACAACCAGTCCCCTGAACCTCTTGAGTCTCAGCCCAGCTTCATCTACAGATCCCTACTGGTTAACATGTCCACCTAGCTGAACTGCTCCTTCCCTCCCTTGGTTAACCTTCTCAACCAGGAACAATAGACAAATGTGAAAGTGTTCTTATCATGCACACTAAAATCCCAGATTGTTCAAAAACCAGTAGACTTCACTCTCGGATTTTCTCCCCATATAGATATTCTCTGCTCAGTTTCTTTAGCTCAGAGACAAGAGCTTGACAACTGCCTGACTCTACTTCTCAGCATAGCCCTCTATCTTGAAGAGTCACACATTTATCTTTCTCACATTCAGCAGCAGCTCGCCGCTTAAGTCAGCTTATCCCAGGTGACTTGGGGTGAAGACAGGGGACATCCTGGGCAGGGCACCAGTCTATCACAGGGCTACACAGAGACACAGACAGACAATTTAGAATCACTGATTAACCTCGGCATCTCTTGGGAGGACTGTGAGAGGAAGCCGGAGAACCCAGTGAGAATACATGGGCTGGGTATTTAACCCAGGACCTTCTTGCTGTGAGGCAACAGTGCTAACCACTTCTCCACTGTGCCACATCTGCCCTCCTATCTTGATGCATCAGCACGTTTCAATGTATTAGGTCGTAACCTCTAGCGACACTCTAGAATCCATGTTTGTGCTGGCCTTCCTTGGTTCCTGCAATTCACAGAGTTCGTTGCAACATCGACTGTAAAGTTGAGTACAAACCGCACCGCCATCCTACTATCCCCACCGTGTCCTGTATCTGACCTTCCTCCATCTCTGAAGACTGCCACTCAAAAAAGCCAAACCAATCCGTTGTGGGGACAATCCAATGCCCAATATACACTTGAAAATAGATTCCCATCTAAGCCCTTACAAATCTCTACTATGCTGTATACAAAACAGAAAATCTCAGGATACTTCGCCTTCAGACCCTCTATTCGTTACAGAGATCGGTCAAGTCACAACCTTAGCCTGAGTCCTCTCCTATTCCAGCAAGTCATGATGGCATCCAGAACCCGAGCCTGCTCTCTGGCCACTCCCTCGTACTGGCGGAGCTTCCAGCCGAGGGGTTCCACACCTAATCAAGGGCATCAGCTGCTCAGCCGCTCCAACCCTTAAGACCTATATTACGCCCACTTTTCGTCTTTTTTGGGAGCCTTCACTGATCCTTGACTAAGCCTTTCCTCACACCGCAACAGCTCGACTCAGTCATCGCTTACAAGTTGCTCATTCACATCCAATAAATTGTCAAGCTTCAAATTGAAGGTGTGGTCCTTGTTAGTGAACTAGAGAGAAAATCTTTAGTTCAGGAGCAAGACCACACCTCAGTCCCTCCCCTTCCTGTCGTATATCTATACATACCACTCTGCCCTTCCCATCTGTTGGTTCTCGCGACTCCTATCACACTCCCCCTCTCCCTTTACTTCTGCCTTCTCTTCCTCTCTCCTCCTTTTCCTCTGGGGTTCGCCGGCCCGGGAGACGCCGCTGATCCCTGACTAAGCCTTTCCCCTCACCGCAACAGCTCAGCTCAGTCATCACGAACATAACGCTCATTCACATCCAATAAATAATCAAGCTTCAAGCTGACGCTGTGGTCCTTGTTGGTGAAATATAAACCTGTAAATGTGCATAACGTGGGCCCTGTAAAGACAGAGATGCATCAGTGAAGAGCTTGTAGAACGAGCAATGCACTGTTGTACAGGAGTCGGGCTAAGATGCGTGACAGGCTGCAATTTTTACTTCTGCAAACCCTCACTTTGAAAATTTTCAGTTTACGAGCTGTTGATCCGGTAAGAACAAACTGGCTTTCTGCAGTCTGGGACTTTATTGAACAGACAGCTAAAGATTTTCAGATTCGGGATACATGGCTACAGGAAATAAGGAAAGAATGGCTTTAAAAAAAAAATCCCATAATAATAGCTTCAGAAATGTTAATGAAGGTGGCTTTGCAAGAGATAGGGACGGAGAACAGCTGTATAAAAGATGCACTTGTTTTGTGAAATAATAGCAGTGACATTAACAAATCCACTTAAACGTCTCTACCATTGAGTGAGAGTATAGACTTAGCAGGTCTTAATTTGTGTCTCAGCTGGAAATTAAACCTTTGGGATTTGGCGCTTGAATGAGTGCGGAGCTGCGTGTGGGTGTTTATCTAACAGCGTGAGTCTATGATCCATAAATCACACACTTTACGCTGCAACCGTATGAGTTTTTTCATCATAATTTATTTTTCAAAAAAAATGCGCTTTTAGAATTTGCTTTGATGCAATTTTTGTCCCACAGAAACCGCCATGTTTCTGTGTTATCTGCTATTATGTCGGCGTAGTGGTGTGACATTGCGACTGACTGAATTTGCCCTCAGTTATCTTCACACAAAATCTGTGAAACATCGCCGGCTTTGATCGCGGCGATGATTATTAGCTGATGGCGGAAAACACTACAAAAAAGAACCAAAGTGGAAACTCCACACATTTCCATCCCATAAACTGAATCCGTTAAAAAACAAGCCTTGAGGACGAAGCAGTGGATTTTCTGAACATCGACGTCTGGTCTTCTTGTGTCTTTTTGTGACCTAAAGGACACAAGAACATCTATTAAGCATGACGTTATCAAGAAGATCGAGTGTCAGTGATGGGATACAGCACATTATATCATTAGATGAAAGGTATATAGTCCACTGGGTAAAGAAAATTAATACTAAAATCATTGATTGGTTATAACTCAGCAGCAGTTTAATAGGAATTATCCCTGTGTATTGCTGGCCCTGTGTAAGCCCAACATTTACATAATACAGTAAATTAAATATCGCCAGTGGAATCTAATTATACACAGTAGGTAATTACACCAAATAAGTAGAGCAGTATAGCCATGCTTTTGTGTTAATATTGTATGTTTAATTAAGCTTATTCATACAATATATGATTTTACTTGCCTTCATGTGATTGTTTTGACAGCTTTACCTTTTCTACTTGGTACAAAAAAACTCTAATTTAACAGGTTTTCTTCTGTATTTTTAAAATCACAGAAAAATAATAATAAAAGTAAGGAACAGACTGACTTAGTATGCCAATGTCAAATAACATTAATAATCCATAGATGCAAATTAACATAAAATTTGCGTCTTTTGAACAAAATACATGTTTTTCAACATAAAAATACATCAAAAAAAAGATAATTTCACAACTATTTTACTTTTTATATATTTATATGTTTGCTGAAACTGTTTATCTCGAGTTAAACATTGTTAATATATTTTTTTCTAAAATTAGATGTTACTAAATAACTATTGGTTCTATATTTTTACATTAACATGTTTGTTAAATTATGACAATGTTCAAATCCAGACTGAAAACAGTTCTGTTTAGTTGTGCATATGACAGCGGAAAGTATTTTATCTGTACTCTTCTAATTAATGATTATATTTATGTTTTTATGGATCGATTGTATCTGCCTCTTTGCTTTTAATGTAATTAATAATTGTGTTTATGTTCTGTGGACTGATTTTATCTGTCTTCTTATACTTTAGCGTGAAGCACTTTGAATTACCTCGGGTACAAATTGTGCTATACAAATAAACCTGCCTTGCTTTGCCTTAAGTTAGCGATATATTGTGTAATTACTGACATTTTCAAAACAAAAATGTTGAATGAATGTGTTTCCTTCAGTGTGTAATATCAACAAGCAACGGCAACTGTCAAAATACAATTTTTATCATAGAGAACAGTAGCAGCGGGACTCGTGAGGCTTTACATGCGTATTACACTCATAACCAACCTGTTAAACCTTTCGTCCTCATTCACTGGTTGTCTTTATTATGCACATGTTCCTCCTTTACTCTGCTGTACTGAAGTATGATCTTTGTATATTGCCCACTTGTTTGACACTTCTTGACTTTGTCGTATTGTAATTCCCTCTAAAGTCTACCAAAAATCCTCGCTTCCTCGTTCACACTGTCAGACCTTAAGTGTCCTGACTCTTGATTGATGATGTTAATCTGATTGTCTAATAAGAAGCCGTATGCTGCTTGTGGTTACGGCGCAATAAGAGGAGCGTGTGAATGAATGCGGTGATTCTTCATTTTTCATGTAAACTGAAGGATTAAGTGTTATAGTCAGGGGAAATTCTCCTGCTTCTTGAGCTGAGTGAATCATTTAAAAGCCCGTTGGATAATTTAAAAACTACATAGTCATGAAGTTGAAAACAGGGCTCTTTTCCACAGCTCATGCAAGATTAGCCTTCTGTAGATACGCGGTTTTCGCAGGACGGCTGATTTTCAAGTGAGCGATCAGAGCAGCGAGAGATCAGGACCAAGTGCAAACAGTCAAACCTTCATTCTAAAAACTTTGTGGCATGAATACAAGGCCCACGAACTGCCTCGTACTTGTAGCACAAATTTCCCACAACATGCAAATTTATGCAAATGCATTCCATTGATCTTTCCATGGCAACCACTCTGAGCGTGCTGCAGATCTTCTGCTGCTGGTCGAACACCTCCCAACTGTTGCCAACAATTTGTTGCAGCCCCTTTCCTGTAACTCCGAGCGAGCGATAGTGGCTGAATTGCATTTTTATCTGCAGCTATACTTGTGTGGCTGTGCTGAGATGTTTCTTTTTTCAAAATTATGGAGCATGCTTACTGCACTGTCAGCACTCACAGCTGAGCACTTAAAATGAGCAATCAATAATCACTCTCTGCTTTCTTTTTCTTTCTTTCCCCTCATGTGTTCCCACTCCTGCTCTTTCCCTCCATCTCTCTCTTTTTTCCGTTTCCATTTGCAGGGAGGAACGTCTCCATGGGTGAGGCCCAGTGATCCAGAAATCCCTACACATCCCCTCACCCCTGCCCTCCTCTCTCTCCTTAAACCTCCCCCCCTCCACTTCAGCCATCATGACTTCCACCAGCCAGCTGTTGGGTTTGGCTGAGGTGGGGCTGAGGTGCGACCAGGAGATTGAGAGGAGATATGAGATCGTGCCCTCGGTGGTCTGCTCCATGTGCTGCCTCTTCGGAATCATCTACTGCTTCTTTGGTAAGTTGTGATTTAGTCGAAAGTAATAAGTTTTGAAAAATCCACTTGTATGCTTTTTTTTGAGAGTTGAGAAAAGTGCTTCTCTGTAAGTTCAAGGTAAGGCAGCCAGCAGCCAGTAAGTTTAGCTGAGCAAAAGTCAAGGCAGCTCAGCATTGCTGTTGAGCCAAAGTGCCTTCCGGGAGAGAAACAAGACCTATAACCTTTCCAAACAATTTTAGATATTCGTGTTAGGACCCTACACTGTGAATTTACCCGACTATATTAAATATTATGGTTAAAACTGGGCTGCTCGGTGGTTAGCTAGAAGATACCTGGTTAGGACACCCAGGATCTTTCTGGAGTTTGCATGTTCTTCCCGTCCAGCGTGGGTTCTCTCTGGGTGACTAGTGACCTGTCCAGGATGTCCCCCGAGTCAGCTGGGATAGACTCCAGCCCCCCCGCAACCCCAGTGAGGATCAAGTGGTGTATAGACAATGGATGGATGGTTAAAACCTTACAAAATCATACAAAATACTAATTAACCAGGCTAAATTGTGAGGTTAATACCCTACAGTAGTGTGAAACCTCCTGCAGGCTCAGGAAGGGCGGCCGTCGGCTCTAACCAGCTAGAGGGAGGTTAAAGGGGAAAGAGAAAAGGAACGCAAAGAGACAAGAAGAAAAAAAAGGCATGAAACTAAATCCACCTAATCTGCATCTGTGACGCTTATGATAGAACATGTTATATCTCTTTCTGTTTAATCCAAACACGCGTAAAAATCATACGTCCTGCAGTTTTGTTGTCGCCATTAGGGTTGCCAGGCAACCAGCAGAGACCCCAGGAAGATGCACTTATCTCCTGATAACATCACGACATGCTGTTTTGACTAATTTTTGTGTGTTTTAAACAAGCACAGTATACGTTTTACAGATGCTGGGAGGGACGTATTCCTACGTTTGGATCAGAGCCTGTTTCTAGGCTTAGCACTAAGCCTCGTCTTGCCGTAGCTTCGTATTCAGCAAACAGATTTGTGAGAACGCTACCCGTCTTTTCGTATAACTCTCGGCAAGAAAGCAAATGAGTGTGTTGCTGAAAATGTCAAACCCTCTTTTAACATTATCATGAAATAATGGCACAGCGTATTATCCACCAATTACCGTGACCTTTTTACCTGCGATGCTCCGACTCTCAGTCAATCTAGAATCTGCTCCTTTGTATTTGCAAGCACAAGCTTCTCATGTACAAAGACTGAAGAACTTGCACACGCACCACCGCCGTTAGCAATAACGACAGATATGATGGAAACGCTGAAGAGCGATTGATTTCCTCTATGCACAAGTGCCAAGAAATGACAGAAAAATTGATAAAACGCACCGCCAGAAACCTATAAAATCTCTACTGTTCATCATTTTCCTGTTCATTCTGCTCTGCTGATGTATGTATGCTATTGATTTCAGAGCAGTACAGTGTGGTTCTCTTGTTTCTGGCTGTGTGAGCCAATATTGAACTCTGATTCTAACAGACCAAACTGCTGTGGCACTGATGTATATTTTCTGTAGTGAGCAAATTGGACTGCACCATTGTAAACTCCTGGTCTGTGCTTCCAGCCTTGTTTCCAGCCGAATCAAAATCCTAAATTGCTGTCATCATCAGACACACTAAAACATCTTGTGAGCTGCTCCTTAAGACGAGGTATGTTTCTGATTCTTTCAACTAAGCGTTCCAGCAGCATTGCTGGAAAAAAGAAGCCCAGAGCTGAACAATTAATCAAAAGCACCGTGGCAAACTGATTTTCATCTCGCTGTCTTTCCGAGAGTTAATGATGGTTCAGCAAGGGCTGAAGGAATGCTTGCCTTTACCAGACAGTATAAAGCGGAAACATCTTATTTCTTAATATTTTCTAATTGAAATGTCAATGCCTCGGTGGCATTTTAGGCATGAGTAACTACCTGACCATGAGGACGTGCAGCAAATACTATCAGAGGATGGATTTTGCACCATCTCTCTTGTAGAGTTTGATTTTCAAATTTAAAAACACACATGCACATCAGAGCCGTGCAATGTCCCACAGTTAAACCTAAACGTGAACAGTTGTTTCTGTTAAGCAAACACAGCATTTAGGTATTTAAATATAAATATATTTCCTTGTGATGAATCCTTATTTTGCTGGTCCACTGCTAATGTTTAGAGTCTTACATATATATTGTAAGGCAGCCTACAAAATCCCATCTCGTTCAGCTTAGATCCTTCCCCTCCTTTCCTGCTTCCACCAGCAAAATAATATCTAAAATATATTGTTTAATTTCATACAAAATAGAACATTACAAAAGAACTCCCAGCATTTTACCTGGGAGGTATTTTGGATGTTCTTGCATTCCGTTCAAAGAATATAAATATAGTTTGGGGAAGACAGCAACCTGTGTGCTGTTTTTTTTTGGATGAATATTGATGGGTGTTGAAGCTCTGAGCAGGCTTGTTGCATGCAAATAGACGGAGGAGAGAGATTCACCGAAGCATGCAGACGGCATTAACATTCACTGTATATGTCCCAGGAAGGCATTGGCATCGGTCCCTGCATTACAAACAGGTTGCCCAAGAACTTTATTTTACAAAGTTGACAGCATGTAACGACACCACGGTGGCTAACAGGCCTGAAAAATAAAAAGAGCATCGCTATTCATAGGTATTTACCGCTAGTAACGCTGAAAATGTCAAGTTTGCTCTCAGCTGTACTTCAAACATGTTTGTGGCATCGGCGCGCTAACATTAGAATCCTGCAAATGTTTTTGTTGTATTTGCACACTAGCTCTGGAAGTCTCTTTATTTACAGAATCCTCCAATGAAGTTCTTTCATACATGCTGCCGTAAAGCAATAAAGCATCACACAACAAGATGTCAGAACCCGAGCGCCGGCACTTTATTTCAGATACTTAAGCTTCTCAGCCTGTGTGGCGTCTGTTTGTCTTTTTCTGTTTGTTTGACTTCATATTCGTGGGAGAACAGAAGTGCTGCGCTGTCACTCCCGGTGCCCGAATCGCTGTTTGGCAAACGAGACGCAATGCATAATGTTGATGTTTCTCAGAAACGCCGCAGTCGCATTTGAACAATATGAGGCAGAAAGACGTTTCTGCTGGTTATCAGCGCGACGATTGATTCTCCCTGCAGATAAATCCCTCTCGCCACCGCAGAATTTGGTTTAGTCCCAAGGTCTTGGGAAGAAAAGATTAGCTGTCATATATTTGATCCACAAACACAAAGCTGCAGGAGAAATGATGAGTGATGTTATTGCAACAAGATGGATGAGGCAAAGAGAAAGAAAGGGAGAGAGAGAGAGAGAGGGAGGGAGACATGAGCTGAATAAGCCAGATTGAACAGATGGGATGGTTTGATGGCTGGAGGAAAACTAAGGAATGCAATGAGGAACAAAAGAGGTAGTTGGAGGGATAAGCAGGGGGTAGTGGAACAGTGAGGGGGGGGATAAAAGACTGAGGGAGGGAGGGGAGAGGGAAGGATGGGTCAGAGAGGAAGGAAAATGGGCCAGACATTAGAAGCAGTAAAGGAAAGGCACGGGTTTTTCATATTTTATTCACCGGTTGGAGACCATCCGATCCGGCAGTGTTTGGAATGTGTGACAGCTGCTGACCAAACAAATGTTCAGGTGGCTGCAGACGCTACGGAAACGCTCCAGTTACTCTGCGTAATTCCCTCAGGCGTTCAGTTACAGAAGAAGCGCAAACAGCTGTGAAGAATACAGTGGCTCTCGCCGCACACGGTGGCTGAAAGATTACCAAAACACAGGATGGAGGTGAAGGGATAAAAGAAAGCTATACCAAGTGTATCAAATAAATGAGGTATGGTCACAAGGGATGAGCACGGACGCTGGTTGGGATGAGGGGCAGAGCATTGTTCAGCTCAGCTGTGCAATGCCTGATTACACAAAGATAACAATCTGACGTCGGGTCCCCTCGAGACAGAGTCCAGTCAGAGAGAGAGAAAGGCAGAGATGCTGAGAAAAATAGAGGAAGATGCAAACATTAATAAACATAGAAGCAAAGGGCCAAGGAGATTTAAGCTGTTGATAAGCTGCGCTTTTAATGCTTTAGAGTCTTTTTTTTTCTTCTTGTTTTGATTGAATAAAACACATGGAGAGAAAGCCGAGGAGGGAGCAAATGAAGGGGAGAAAGAAAAAAACAAAACGGAAAGGATAGCAGCTGTTCTTTTCAGCAGCCCTGTTGACTAATGAATGTGGATGACCTTTTGTAATATGATAATTATTATATTTTAAAGCAATTTCGTAAAGGTTTATAGAGCGAATTTATCTGCTCCCACCACACTCCAGTGAGAGCCTTTCTCTTCCCGACCAGCCACAGGATGGTGGCTGTTTATGTTTCCTTGCTGTTCATTATGCGTCCTCCGTGTAATACTTTATCTTTTCTGTTGAAACATGATAACAGCCTTTTAATTTCAGGAGCCGTTTGCACAAAAACCACAAAGCAATCTACAGTTTATCGCCGGGCTGAACAGAGAGAACAGTAGCATGTAATTACAGAATGGGAATAAAACGTGAAGTCACAGAAGAATGCGTACGTCTCTTACAAACGCAAGTGATGAGATTTTTATGCTGGTCAGTAAATAAAAAAAGTCTTCTGTTGGGTTGCGAGCATCCATCCTGTCTGCAGATGTAAATAGTTAATAGGTTCTCAGAGAATTGATTTCAGTCTAGATACTCCGCAGACATTTTCAGGAAATGTGGCCAAACTGTTCATTGATGGAAGCTTCAAAATGGAAAAAAGAGTTAGAAAGAAAAAGCACAATTTGGCGACTCACAGTCTTCTTCTTCTTCTTTTTTTTTTTTTAAAAAAAAGAGAAAACCATTAGTTTTGTTCATGTTGCTGTACGCTGGGCTTGGCACTGTATCATTCAGGGCTAAAACTGAATATCCCACTGCTGTGTGTGTGTGTGTGTGTGTGTGTGTGTGTGTGTGCGTGGGTGGCTTACTGACTGTACTATTCCTCTCTATTCTGGGCTGCTGCTAATGGCACACGGAAATGTTTCATATAAGCACCATCATGCTGTTTGTTGTTTCATGTTGTCATCATGTTTTATTCGATTTCATTTTGATTTAATAGATGCTTCTGGTTGTTCACTGAGGCTTGCGTGCACACAATCCCTCCAACACACACACACACACACACACACACATACACACCACACAGAGGTACAGCAGTTCAGAGTTTGCATGCCTTTCATATCCTCACAGCGCTCCGTTTCCCGTCTCTCCTCCAGGCTATCGATGCTTCAAGGCCGTATTGTTCCTCACGGGCCTCATGTTCGGCTCCGTGGTCATCTTCATGCTGTGCTACAAGGAGAGGGTGATGGACACTCAGCTGAGTGTGGAGGCGTCCGTGGGCATCGGCCTGGGCATCGGGACCCTGTGTGGCCTGGTGACCATGCTGGTTCGCAGTGTGGGTCTGTTTATGGTGGGCCTGCTGCTGGGCCTGCTGGTCGGAGTGGCGTCACTGGTGGTGAGTTACGTCCTTGTGCAAGATGAATGATTAACCTTATGAGCCCGAGGCTGTGCTCAGTGTAATGTCAGGACCTTTGCTTTAAATCCCTTTTCGTGGTCATTATAAGGTCTGGTCCTACAGTATGGACTATCTACACTTTGCATCAGATGATATGATATTACCTTTTAAAAATGTTCCTTAGCGTCAAGGGGAAACAAAACTAATATAAAATTGTTGCATTCTTACATGCATTATGCTGGCAATAGAGATATCTTTCCATAATTGCCTTAAACATGCATCTATCAGAAACATGATGGTGGGATACTGTATGGTGCAGGAATTGAGAAAAAATATGTGCTTAGTGCTGAACAGAGATAAATGTCATCATTTTATTCACTAGCAAATTTGCAGAGATGACAAACCAGGTATATATCATATCAATGCATGTATTAGTTTGTATTATATGCAATGACTGCATTGCATGGGTGTAAACATCAATGTATATCAACTAGGGAGGCACGATATATCGGCCACCACATCGATATCGGCTGATATTAGCGTTTTTTTCCCCATATATTGGTATCGGTCTGATGAACAAATTTAGCCGATGATTGTCTAACATTAGCGCCTTTTTCTCAACATTTGATATTGCTGCTATTTCACAGATGTTTTTACCTAAATGGTCCTTGACTTGAATGTTAAATATGTTTAAATATGTTTTACTTTTGTTAATAATAAAAAAGACTGTGTGGTCTAATTTGGGCTTCTTTTGAATAGTTTACTAATTTTTCAGTGTGAACACAAATTGAATATCAACATCAGTAATATCGTTTATCTGCGATATCAGAAATCTTAATATCGGATATCGGCCAGAAATTCTGATATCGTGCATCACTAATATTAACATATTGATGCTATGGCAAGTTCTCAAGTAATGTGTGTGGAGATGGATGCAGGTTGAAACTATGATTAAATCTGATGGATATTTACAATATGTTTTGGGGGGATGACACATCCTCTCACAAAGAATCACCATTGCTACACGCCTGTGCTGTAAATACCTTAAGAAGAAATTTAACTGTGACAAAGTGATGTGAAATTGGGCATCCATCAGGCTCTATGTGTCAAACTGCACATGCATTTAACATGTCAGCCTTCATTCAGTCATGCAAATGAGCTTTACGAGTGAAGCATTGTGCTATTCTCACAGCAGAGTGTTGCTGGTGTGTGCAGTTGCGGTCGTCCATAGACTAATCTGGAGGCGTAGACGGATGTAAACTAACCATCTCTCATTACTGTGGCGGCATCTCGCTTGTCAGTCTGATAAATTACATGTTTGCAGAGAAAATTCAACTCTAACAACTTTTGCACGGCTTTTACCTCCAAATACAAGCAGGAGATCCTGCAGAGCCCGGGCTGAAATGCCATTAAAATGATGATGCCCCAGCAGTAATGCCAGTGTCTGGAGACATCCCATCAGTTTGTCGTTTAGTGTGATAGGAAAGCAGCTCGCTCACCAGCTAAATATCATTTACACATTGGTACTCGAGCTAACACACGACTGAATCACAGCGCGAGGCAGGCCTTGAGGTTTAATTTTAGTAGCATCAGGAGTTTTAGCTGCTGATGGAATTTAAATGCCACGTTAGAGTGGAGTGGTTTAACTCTGCTGCTGCTAATGATGCCACATGGATTTACACAATAAAAAATGACAACAGCCAGAGTAAAATAAACACTTTTCTCCCCCTTTCTCTCAGGTCATGGAGGAGTTCTACCACCCTAAAACGGTGTGGGTCCCTTTGGGCATCCTACTGGGTTCTGGGACGCTATTTGCCGTCCTCACTCTTCAGTGGCAGCGCTGCTTCGTCACCTTCTCGACCGCCACGTTCGGCTCTGCCATCATCACTGTCACCGTGGATTATTTTATAGAGCTGTTCGCCTTGGTGCACTACGTCTACGAGAGACTCAGGGTAAGCAAGTCCCAGTGTTTGTTTATGTGCCAGAGAGTCACCTTGAGGCGAGTTAGCGCGCTCGAGAGAGAGTCATAGACAGATTGACAGCTCGGTAGACTCATAGATAAAAATCTGTGATATTGACCACTTTATAGAGCTGTCACCAGCAGCCATTTTAGACATTTCACCTTGGTGCACTGTCTGCAAAAACTTTTACCAGGAGCTGGAGGTGCGCCTGCAGGTAGGAACTGAGAGGAAAGAAAAGATCAATAGAAGATTTGAGTGTTTATCTGAGAACAGGAAGGTCTGTGTGTTTGATATGTGCATGGGCGAGGCAAAGGCAGCCAGAGTTAAGAATAAGGATAGAAAAAGTCTTCTGTTATGGCATATGTAATTCTGTGCTGTCATGTTGGAGTGTGGGAACAGTCAATTTTCTAACATTTTAGATGAAACAGCCCGAAGGTCTGACAAGTCAAAGTTTATTATCTCACTAAAGCAAAAAATCTCAATAAACCCAGTGCGCTCAACTGAATGCTGCAGATTGAACTAGAAACAGATCACATAGGTGGTGTTTTTAATGAAATATTTAAGATGTATTTAATAGATTTTTAATTGATGCTTTGTTAATTAGCCAAACAGTACAGCAAGTTCTCTGTATGCACATTTTTTTGTCTTCAAGTAACAAACCAAAAGTTTCTTCCACTGGCTGAACAATCTGTGGGTTTCAAATCTTATTTTAAAACACTGCAGTAAAAAAAAAAAAAACGGTCTTGCTTTTAAATCAGCTGTGATTCACATGCTTTTATTCGAGCATACTGAAACTTTCAAGGGTAGTTTTTGCTGCCAATTGATTGACCTTAGAAGGAAATAACTTGAAAACCTGAAGAAAAAAAAATTAATGGAACAAAATTGGAACAAACCTCAGAGAGAGCCACTGAGGAGGGATGTCAAATGGATGTTATATGTACAGAAAAACAGACATTTTAGAATGTAGACAATCAAGGTTGCAAAGAGGAATGACCCAGGAGGACGCTGAGCAGGTTCCATTAGTAACCAGACAGACAGGAGCTGAGCCACATGGCCCCTTTACCTCCATCACGACCTGTAAAGAGGACACACATGACGAACACACAGGAGACAAAACCACTGACGTATCTAGAAGAGGGAGACAAGCATGAAGGAGGACAATATGAACTTAAATAAGACAGAGACAGTCATTGGAGGGAGGTAGGTCCCAGGATGGCCGACTGTCCGACGCTGAGGAGACAATAAGGAGGCCGAGATGAGGAACAAAAGAGAGCGAAAAGCACAGAGCTTTGTCTCTCCTTGTCTCTGCATTCATTACCTTTCAGTGACATAGGCTGATGTTGGTGCATGTGCCATCGAGGATTGACAGCTGGCTCCCCTACATGAGCTTCAGCAATGACATTCCCAGGTGATGCAAAAAGTTTTAATAGAAAAAGAACGGTAGCATAAAAACTGTCCAGATAGGCCAACAATGGATCATCAGCTCATCATCCATCCATTATCTATACACCACTTAATCCTCACTAGGGTCGCAGGGGGGCTGGAGCCTATCCCAGCTGACTTAGGGCGAAGGCAGGAGACACATGGACAGGCAACCAGTCTATCACAGGGCTACACTTAGAGACAGACAACCAAGCACACTCACATTCACACCTACAGACAATTTAGAATCATCAATTAACCTCAACATGTTTTTGGACTGTGTGAGAGGACTCAGAGAGAACCCACGCTGCATGGTGAGAACATGCAAACTCCACACAGAAAGATCCCGGTGCCCCCACCGGAACGCGAACCAGTGACCTTCTTGCTGCAAGGCAACAGTGCTACCGACTGCGCCACCTTGCAGCCCTCAGCTCATCATACTAAATGATATTCCCTCATTTGGTTTCTTACTGGGGCTGCAACTGGTTATCACTGTCGCCTTGCAGCTAGAAGATCCCCAGTTTGCATCTGGTTAGGACGGCCGGGATCTTTCTGCATGGAGTTTGCATGTTCTCCCCGTGCAGCGTGGGTTCTCTCCAGGTTCTCCGGCTTCCTCCCACAAGGTCCAAAAACATGCTGAGGTTAATTGGTGATTCTAAATTGTCCGTAGGTGTGAATGTGAGTGTGCTTGGTTGTCTGTCAGCTGGGACAGACTCCAGCCCCCCCGCGACCCTAGTGAGGATTAAGCGGTGTATAAATAATGGATGGATGGTTTCTTACTGACGGTAGTTAAAGACCCTATATAACACATGGCTCCGAACTGCCCAATAAGAGCCAATAATCGTGGAGTTAAAAATGTGGATAATCCTGCCCGTTCACTGCCAGCTGCTTCCCCGGTGAGCCATTCACAGTCTGCCTCCTCACAGTCCACCAGGTTTATTTACTTCCTCACACACTCATTCACTTCTCAGTTGGCTGCTGTGTGGTCAGCTGCACACACACACACACACACACACACACACACACACACACACACACAGTCTTCTTCCTGAAGGGGGCGTGGCGTGGCACTGCTCAGCTGTGTTTAAAGCTACACAGGGAGAAACTCCCCCTTTAGATCAGGGCTACAACAACGACTTGTACAGTCATGGTAAAATCAACCATCTTTGTAGTATTTTGAACTAAAAAAGACACCTTCTGGAGACATGTGAGACTTTAATTAAGCTGGAAATGGGCACAATATGGGACCTATAAGTTGTCATTTGTAGCTACTAAGTTTTGCTAATTAACAACCACTATAATTTCAAAACCTCTTTTTTCTTTTCAATATATTTTTTGGGTTCTTGCCTTTATTTAGAGCAGAGAGATAGACAGGAAAGGGGAGAGAAGAATGGCGAGAGACCTGCAGCAGAGGGTTGTGAGCGCGAGTCGAACCCACGACCGCTGTGTCGAGAAACTATAGCCCCTGTTTATGGGTCGCCCATTCAACTAGTTGAGCTGTAGGGCCGCCCCAACATGTTTTTTATTAACTGAGCATGAATAAGCGCCCATATTGATAAATGTCCTTTTTCATATTTGCTTAGCAACTGGTTTAGTTTTTGCAGATTGACTTAATGGAGTTAATAGCTTCCAAAACATTTAACAGAAGGCACAAAACATAAAACGTGACCTTGAGATGGTTTCCTCTTCAAGATTGTTATTCTAATTGTACCAATCAAGTGCTGTTCTGCAAAAATAAATGAGATGACAAGGGTTGTAACAGGCTTAAAAATAGGGGAAAAAAATCTTTTATCTGCATGAAATTACTTCAACAAAACTGTCTTCTTTGCAGGTGGCACCAAAGAGGCCGGTGTGCTGGTTTACGTGGGTCATCTTGGGCGTGTGGCCGGTCCTGGCCCTCCTCGGAGTGCTGATCCAGTGGAAAGTCACTGCAGAGGGATTTTCTCACACAGAAGGTAAGTGATGCTGCTGTGGACACACAATCAGACTCTCTGGAGCAGGACGAGAAACTAACTTTCTGTCCACGTTCGTTCAGTTTTGCTTCCTGCTCAAAGGATCCTTTGTTGTTTGTTGGTTTTTTTATTCACCTTGTGGTGCTCTTAAGGGTTCCTAAAGGTGTTTTTGAAGGAATTTTAAAACTATTTTTAACAATATTTGCAGAGATTTTTAAATTGTATTCTATGGATGGGTGTGCAAATCAATCCAGTGCACATTTACTATAGTTTAAAATGTTTCTACACTTAGAAAATCCCGTCATCTCTCCTGTAACCTGTGAAAAACACAACATACAGTAGCAACATAAGACTATGACTGACCTTTTACTCAGTTCTTTCCTCTTTTCCTTCTGCTGTGGAAAAATTCTAGACAGTGAAACGTTTAGGATTTTTAAGCGTTGAGCGTTTCCTCTCCTGTTCGATAAAAATATGTGGTTGTCACAGTTAATGCATGGGCGCCGGGGCTGACAAATCCCAAATGGGGAAGCATGAGACAGAGCAGGTTAAATAGATTTTCTTGTCACAAACAAGTTCACTCAGCGAATCAAAGACAGCCTGAACAAGAAGATCCTGCAGGGAGAAAAAGATGAGTAGGAAGTTTTGAGTCAGACAGCATGTCTCCACACAGGCAGCAGATCATGAGCTCATTCAGAGAAACGGGGGAAGACGGAGACAGCCAAATGCAGGTTTATATACAGAAGTGCAGAGGAGTTTCATCCAGACGTAGTGTACATTTGATTAAAAGTCTGAGAAATTTGCCAAAAGAAAATGAAATGAACCCTCTGAACCCTGCAAGGTTTGAAAGGAAAATTAACTTCACCAAAATCCCACCGTTTATCAGAGCCAGAAACTATAAATACAGAAAGAATCACTGGATTTCCATCATCATTGAACTAATCATGAGTTTCAGTTTTGACAATCCAAAATGGAAATTATGACATTTCATCTTAATCATTTTATGCTACATGTCTCATTTAAAAATTACACAACAATAAATCATTTACTCTACAAAATTCTGGACGGAGCCCCGGAAGGGACATGGAGAAAGAAAAAAACATTAAAAAATATAGAGGTATCTTTTGAGAGATCTCGCAAAACTTTCTCAGGATCTCACAATAACTTTTGCCAGATCTCGCAAAACTTTAAGTAACTCCAGTCCAGTAGGTGGCAGTAATGCACCTGCATGTTGGATGCCAACCACCAAATCAATAAAAGAAGAAGAAGAAACAAACTTTAGGTGTGTATACCTCTGGGTCTTTTAGCAGTATGGAGAAACGACAATAGAGGACACCCACTCATAGGAGAGTTTTATTGAGTTTTATTTTGAAATCGGCCTTTAATGCAAAGACATTCAAGCAGTGCTCAGCAAGAGGCACAGTTTTCACCAAACATCCAGTAAGATGCATGTGACTTGCAAGATCTCAAGAAAGCTTTTGTGAGATCTTACAAAAATTATTACGCGATACCGAGAAAGTTTCGCAAGATCTCTCCAAAGATACCTCTATTTTTTAAAATGTTTTTTTTCTTCTCCATGTCCCTTATGGGGCTCCACATGTACAAGAGTTTTACTGAGTTTTATTTTGAAATCAGCCTAAAATATAAAGACATTCAAGCAGTGCTTAGCAAGAGGCACAGTCTTCACAAAACATCCATTAAGATTGATGTGACTTTTCCTGAGAAAGTTCTGCAAGATCTCACAAAACATACCTCTATTTTTTCCCCCTTTCCCTGTTTTTTTTTTTTTTTTCTTTCTCCATGTCCCTTCCGGGGTTCTGTAATTCTGTCAGAAAAAGAATTATAAATTAGCTCCGTGAAACAAAGCTGCAATCAAAAGTCACATTAAAAAAATTCATGGACGTTTTAGCTTTTCTGCAGGCTGTGTTTAAACAAAGCTGATTGGGGAACAGTATTGACGCTAGGATAGAAGTCGTAAAGCATCTATAGTCTGTAGAGTTTCTTCAGTATTGGTAACACCTTGAAGCACTAAGGAAAATGTTGTACATGTTGATATCAGGTTTTTGTGATGATAAATGGTGAATTCATGTTAGTTTCATGTGTCCATCTGAGAAACGCATCACTCCTCATATCACTCCACCCAGATGTGATGTTTCCATCTGCTGCTATCTTTCATTTCCTGAGTGGAAGTTTTCAGTGGATGTTAAAGTCTCAGTCCTCGTGTACGTCAGGATTTATTCACCGCTTGTTGCTGCCTTATTTTATCGACACACAAACTTTCCCACTTAAGTTAAGTTTGAGAACTTTATTTGCACTTTTTGCTTTGCTCTTTCTACTTTTTTTTTTTTTTTTTGACACACAAAGCCACTTATAGACAACAGTGAAAATCTTGCTGAAGGGCCGCTGAAGTGCCGCTGAAGGATCCGGTAAGGGGTTTGCAAGTGGTTGTGGAGCTCATGTGGTTTCTCTTCTCTTTTTTGGAGGGGGGCAATGGAAATGGCAGGAAAAGGTTGTTAAAATTCTGTGGCCCAGGGGAAGTGAAAATGTCTGAGGTTGAAAGGTGGACAGAGAAACATGTCCTATGAACACAATGTCTGCATGATGGCCAGAAAACAGCATCCCAGGTTGATGATTTCATCAATTTTCCCATTTGCTTCACCATAGTAGCAAATTAATTCATAATTCACTGCTTCTACCCGGACGCTAATTTAGTCCATTAGTTTACTAAAATACATTCAGACGAAGCCTCTGCACCAGTTTTGGAACTTGGGAATCCATGACGAATATACTCAGAGACAGTTGATTCAAGAAAGGTGGTGCTTTCTCCATTCTCCAAAGGAACCGCTCTCAATAATCTACCGGCAGCTGCAAAACTTGTTCCAGTATTGATCTCACCGAGACCCCAACAAGCTCTCTGACAAATCCCGAGTTTATTAGATAAACAGTGTCCTCGCTTAAGCAATCTTAACCGCTACGAGGTCGGGGAACAGCGCGTGCTGCATGCGTACGAATGTCTCGGCGTGAGTTCGTGCGAGTCTGAATGTACCAACACTGGTGTCGACGCCAGAATGTGTTACTGACGGAAACAGCAATAATCTGTTCTGAAAGCAACCACAACACAGATGGCTGGATGGCACACACACCCAAACACAATATGTAAATGCAGCGCACACAAACACCGCCACAACACACAACTCGTGCACTCAGACACACCGGGACGGAGGCAGCAACGTACCGGGGCGCCTTCTCACGCTCGCTCGCTCACTTGTACGCCAAGAAAACTGAAACACACACGTGCCATTCGTTCACACACACACACACACACACACACACACACACACACACACACACACACACGTGCCATTCGTTCACACACACACACACACACTTGTACATTTGATCTTTGCTGCTGTATGATGTGCGCAGCTATGTCTTAGAAGAAGTCACACATGGCCTCAAATAATGGGATTAAACAGCAGGCTGCCATGGCTTCCAGTCAGAGGGTGTGGGCAACGAGATAGAGGCATAGAGGCAGCTTCTTTTTGGTGCTATTTTGAAAAACGTGCAGTTGCATGTAGGGAGAGAAACCTTGAGACACACAGAGGAAGTGCAGGTCGGCTACAAACTGTAAAACAAGGGAGGGAAAGGATTCTGTTCAATTCAAGACACGGTGTTAAGCTGCAAATAAAAATGCTTTAAAAAACATATTCTGTATCATGTGGTGTGGATTTGGATCAATTAGCAGATCCAAAATTCCATTTTTTTTTTTTTTTTTACAGTTATTAAACTAATTCTGAATAAAATAACTTGTGCTATTTTGGCTAAGTATCTTGAGCAGCATCCCGCCCACGGAACAATCTGATTGGATGCATGCCCTGAGCCTATCAACACTGAAGGAGAAATGATGAAAAGGATCTTTTAATTAACCATAAAGACAGGCATTTTAATAAAAGTTTGCTTTATAGTGTGGGATTTTCTACATTTTGACACCAAGATTTTAATTCTTGCTGCAAATCGTTCGCCTTGATTTCTCATAATTGGTATAAAAAACCCACATCAGTCGACCCTGACTGTTGTAAAGACAAGTAAACGCTAAAAGTAGATCCCTAGAACTCTATATTTATTGTTGCACCAACCCACCAGAACAAACTCCTCGTATTGTGTAAACTAAACCTGGAAATAAATCTGTTTCTGATCCTGACTCTAGATGAATGAATCCAGATTGCAGTTAAACACCTGTAGCTTTGTGCAGTAATGTCCCATTTTTTTTTAATGCAATGAGAATTAAATATTCTAATAAAAATAATAACATTATGTCCAGAATATGACAAACGTAGAACAATAAAGAAAATAATAATCCAAATATGAATACAGGGGAAAAAAACAACAGCTAAGAACAGAACATTGTGTATTTTTGTGTGTGTGTTGCATTAAGAGCTGAAAGCAGGATGAAGGGAGAGCGAGGAGGAGGAAGAGGAAGCTGCAGCAACGTTATTGCGGTCGCTGCTGGTTGGCGATAAGAGCCCCGGTCATTTATTTGTGTTATTTAAATGAACATATACGGCGCGTTATCTCCAATTGGGTTTTGATATTAGCGCCGAAAGTGCTCCTTTTATGAGCGTCGTGGTGAACAGGGGAAGAGGAAGGGGGGAAAAGTAAAGAGGGAGCAGGTGTACTGGGGGAAGGGCAGGGTGAGGGGTAATAAACTGGGGCACAATGGGTAAGCAGGGCACCCGAGTGGAGCAGGGAGGAAAATCATCTGTCAGCTTATTGAATAGCATGCAGGTCACGGCCATGAATGAATTAGCTCACACATGTTTGACTTGTTTTTTTGTTTTTTTTGTGGTGGAGATACTGTACACTTCTATATACTTGTGAGGACCCTCGTTGACTTAACGCCTGCTGTAGCCCCTCTGCACCTACCCCAACCCCCTAAACTGTCAAACTGCCTTTTAAGTAAGCACCCAAATGTCCTCACTCGTACATCTAAAGCCTATTTAGGCCTCACAAAGACAGAGAGGCATGTGGTCAGAGGGGCCTGAGGTGGAGCTGGCTGGCAAGAAGAAAAAAAAGAGGAGGGGGGGGTGTATATGATTAAGCAGTTTCCCCGGCAGATGGTGCCTCGTGGTGCACAAAGAAACAACAATAGCACTTCCACACCCACCCACACACACACACACACACAAGGAGTCTCTGACCTACACGGTACATCTGTACACGGGAAGAAAAAATTTGACCTCTCGTAATAAAAACAGATTCTGCTGTATGTCGCACCACCGAATCAAAATGCCCGCAAAGACCCATACCCAAAAATAATCACATCAGCGGACAGTGAGACAGGATGGATTTTGGACATCCTTTTGCCGGAGAGGGTGTGAAAATAACACGAACACACTCACCCACTCACAATATGTCAGGAGACTGAGCAGCACAGTACAAGTACATGCAGCGAGGAAAATTATCCGCCTGCCAACCGGCTGAATGCAGCGACGGAAGTAAGGAAATGGGTGTCAGTGTTTTTTCTCCTTTTTTCATTTTTAAGGCACTTATAATCAGTCCCCCTCGGAAAAGTTCAACATCTGCAATTAAAGCTAATTACAATGCTAAAAATATATATTTCAAATCTTAGCTTATTGAGTGTTTCTGAATGTGCTCCTTCCGCTTCCCTCCATTAAAGCTGTATTGTTTTGGTATTTATCCAGTCCTCACTCCCCCTTGATTATCTATTGTTCGCCTCCTCTCCCGCACATTGTCACAACTCCGTTCTCTCTCCGTCTCCAGTGGTTTTGAGCCGGCAGCAGCGGCGGGTCCAGCTCATGCGGATCCGGCAGAGGGAAGAGAGGCTGAAAAAGGAGAAGGAGAACAAGAAGAAGAAAAAGCGACAGACCCAGAAGACGAGCCACAAGCAGAAGGCCCACACCCATCATCACCACCACCAGCAGTACCACCACCCGGCGGCAGCCCACCCGCATCACCAAACCCAGAGCTCCCAGCCGCCGAAAGTCCCCCCTCCGCCTCCGCAGACTGAACCCGGATACCACCGCAAGGCCAACCCTAAGAGACGCTTTGATGGAGATGTGCTGTCACCGGTAAGATGCAGTGGCCTCCTTGTTCCTAAGATCTATACAGTCTGAATCATAAATGTCCAAACAGCTACAGATTTTGTTTTTTCGTACTCTCTGCTTGTTCAATTTGAGATAACACTACATTAAGGTAGAATAGATTTTTATTATCATTGCTCTTTGGATGAACAGACAGCACAGAGTCAATACAAAAAACAGAATAAAGATCCATCCATCATCTATACACCACTTAATCCTCACTTAGGCTAAAGGCAGGTTCACCTGGACAGGTCGCCAGTCTATCACACTTAGAGACAGACAACCAAGCACACTCACATTCACACCTACGGACAATTTAGAATCACCAATTAACCTCAACATGTTTTTGGACCTTGTGGGAGGAAGCCAGAGAACCTGGAGAGAACCCACGCTGCACGGGGAGAACATGGAGACTCCACACAAAGATCTCAGGCATCCTAACCAGGATGCAAACCGGGAATCTTCTAGCTGCGAGGCAACGGTGCTAACCACTGCGCCACCGTGCAGCTCTAGAATAAAGATCAAATACAGTTAAAAGAAGAAGAAAAAAGTAGGAATGCACTAAAATCCCAAATCTGTGAAGATTCTCAATCATCCAGGTCATGGTTATTCTCATAGTTTAATCGTAGCGACTGGACTTGCTTGAGTTCCTTGAAGACGTTCCACCTCTCATCCAAGAGGCTTCATTAGTTCTGGCTGACTAGTTGGGAGTTCTAGATACTTATATCCTTAAGGAGTCATTAACACTTGAGCATCAAACCCCCAATTAAAACCAAAACTCAAGTGTTAATGGCTCCTAAAGAATGCCAGTATCTGGAACTCCCAACCAGTCAGTCAGAACTGATGAAGCCTCTTGGATGAGAGCTGAAACGTCTTCAAGGAACTCAAGCAAGTCCAGCTGCTACGATTCAACTACGAGACTAAAATTCCAACTTTTAGATTTACGTAAACGTCTCATTACCAGTGGAGACTGCAGGGAGTCGGTGCTCCCAGCTGAGAGATGCTCCTACTATAGGATATATCATAAATGTCAAACTATTCCTGTACGCTGGCTCTACATTAGTATACGCTTTACCTACTGATCATCACATTCCTGTATCTCGTGTGTGTGTCCACAGAGCTACATCCGGAGTTTCAGGGACAGACAGACGGACAGACGGGCGTACTCCCACAGCCGAATGATGAGCCGCTCCCGGATGGCCGAGCTCGACTACGACTGTGGCTCTCAAGTGCCCCTCACGGCCCCCAGTGGACCCCCAGTTCGCATCTGAGGCGGTGAATTGGACAAATTCCACACGCAATCCGAGTCTACTTCACACCTTGTAGTCACAGTTCAGGACAGGAAGCCCGACCTCGCCGTGCCAACCCAATCAGCTGCCTATTAACCCAACAGGAGCTCGGTATGTCCCAAAGGCGGTTGGACCCACACCGGTTTTCCTCCTCTCAGACCTGCTAACAGCTGTATTTATTTGTCCACTTTCGTCTTGTTTTGCTCTTTTTGAATGTCAAGATACAAGAACGGGGAATTTTCCTCTAGAAGGAGCAAGAAAATTGAGTCACCACATCTTGTATTTGGCTCCTCTGTTATTGTACCTGCTCGAAGGACGCTGGAGAACCTGTGGAACTCGGCAAACCGCCTCTGCTGAATATTTTTTTTTGGTTGCTTCAAATCAGAAGAAGTAATTTTCTGTGGGAGTGCAGTGGGAGAAAAAAAAATCGAAACCCTGCACCGGAGTGCCACACCATCTCAGATAAAAGTGCATCACATGACTTTCAAGGTAAAACTACTTTTAATGAACTTTCTGCTTCGAAGGTGATTAGACGAGGAAACTTTAAGGATTCTGTTAAGAGGAAAGTGACACAACATGAAGAAAAAAAATGACTCTGAAACTCAAAGGCAGCTTCCTTATTGTTTTTTTTTTTCCACTGAAAGATCTCCGCGTGAAGCAACGTATTCCTGAAGTCAGCATTTTATCTTCAGTGAAATCCGGTTCGTGGCAGCACAAGGCCTCTGCAGAACGGGGACCAGTTTTCAGTGTGAACTGGATTAATCAGTTCGCACCAAAGACGATTTCTTTTGGTGTCATCGCTTGTATCGTCGCCATTCTCCAAGGAGAACGTGCTCACATCTCGTCACTTGTGGACCTGAGCAGGAGACACATCCCACCTCCCGCCTCCACCCCGTCCCTTCCCCGCTTCTTTCCTCTTTCCGCTAAATTTGAAATGTTTGTGTAAGCTATGTAGCTCTATTTGTCTCTAAGTGCTCTCATGTCCCTCTTCTGTCCCTTATTCCCAAAACGGTTCACCTGTGCAGCTTGTGTTGAAATGTTCTGTTAAGGCACAAAGACAAACAACTGCTATCTGATACTGCCATCAAGGAATTTGTCGGTGAAATCTGTCGGACGGTTTAAAGAGGTCGATGGTGAAAATGGTAAAAAAAACAAAAAAAGTAGTGTGTTTGTGTGTGTGAGTGGACATGTGAGCCCTGTGGCAAGTGACGGGTTGTACCAAACGCTGGCCAAGGAGAGGGGGGATTCATTGTGATGTCTGTAGAACATGCAGTTTTCCCTCTTTTTTTGTTTTTTTGAGCCAGTATAGTGATCCGGTTAAAAAAAATGTGAATTCTTTTTACGTCTGGATGAAGTGTTAAGTGATGAAAAGGAGGAGTTTTAAAAAGAAGATTAACTCCTTTAAAAGATAAGCCAGTGAGAAGATGAAAGCGTTTGCAAATGGCGCCCTCTAATGTTTACTGCTGGACCTTTTTTTTTTTTCTTCCCCCACCGGAAACTCTGTGTATGTGTGTGTTTGTGTTTACATGCATTTGCGTGCTCCTTACATTGATATTGTACTAAACATCCAGAAAGGAAAGCGAGTCGGTGCTGAGATGGAGGAAGTTTTGGTACTTTTTGTTTTTTAAATGGAATTGAAGTTAACTATTAACACCAATACTACCAATGTTACTACCAATGTCCAATGAGGCAAAATACTACCACAAAAAGCCACAAGGGAAACAGCCAATGGATTGTGCGCTTTATGTACTTTTTGTAGACTTTTATTTCTGAGGTTTAGACCAAGAAAACAACTCTACTGTACTTGAACAGCGTGCGTTGGGTGGTGCTTGGATTTAGAAGGATTGTGACTGCCGGATCAACCATTTGCATCATGACCTGTAACTGCATGAATCCTTCCGACGTGTCATTGTTGTCAAAGTTTACATTATTGGTCCTGAGGTACATAAAACTCTTCTCTTCTCTTCTCTTCTCTTCTCTTCTCTTCTCTTCTCTTCTCTTCTCTTCTCTTCTCTTCTCGTCAGTTAATCCAGGTAAAGGGCTTGAAAAAGGCATTTGACTCACTTCCCCTCTTTCTGACATGTATAATGCTAAGTCACCTTCTGTCCCGCTGTATAGTGTTTCGCAGTAGTGGCTGTTTTTGGTCTCCTTTTTGTGTGTTTTTGTTTTTAAACTGTAGTGCAGTTCTAACATCGCCAGTCTTTACTTGGAAATGAAATGTCAATTCTAAACATTGGCCCCTCTCTTGCTTGTAATCTGGGGACAAAACTTAATCATTTGCTTCTTTTCATTTGCTTATTTCTAATATTTTCTGTGATTGCCTGTCGCCGCTTAAAATATATGTCGGGGGGAGGGGGGGGGAAACCTTTCGATTGTAGATATTGACCTGTAAATAGTTTTTAAATGTACAAAATTGTTTGGCTTCATTTTCATGTTTATGATCACGTATGTAATTTATGCAGCTGATTATTTTCTAATGGAGTAGACCTGCTATATTGTGATACTACTGTACGTTCCGTTGGTTTGATTTGGCCGGGTGGTGGACGCACTTCTCATCCTGGTGTTTCGCCAAACTGATTCATCGTTATCCCGCCACCCGCTATGAATTTGTACAAATCACCTGATTATTATTATTATTATGATTATGATTATTATTATTGAGCATGGATTTATATGGACCTAACATATGATAAACATTGTGATTCTACAATCTTATGGTCTTGTTGTTTCTACAGTTCCTTCATTTCATCTGTGTCATATAATATCACATAATCAGAAGCACACACTTCAGAAAATATGCACAGTTCCAGGATCAAACTCACCTTTATTTGAAGTTTAGTATAGTTTTAGTAAAGTTTACTGTTTCATATGGTAAAAATAAGTAAATAAATAAATGTCATACTATCAAGAAGTCATTGTACTGACATGCCAGGTAATTTAAAAATTGCATCACTGCATATTTATTTCTAAAGAAAATACTCTGCACATGTAATAAGAATGCAATGGTGTCTTACATATCAATATGCGAATCAAGCTTGATTATTATGCAACCAAACATCAGCCAGACTTTACCGTGTACAGCTTGTATCTGTGTGATATCCCTGCAGGTCTCAGGCATGCTTAAGAAATTCTAAGGGCAAACATGACCCACAGAAAAATCTCCAGTCGAGTTCATGTGTTCTGACAGTATCGCTTTCAGGCTGCAGCTTCATAACAAACTACAGTGATACAGTTATGTAATAAAAATGGTAAAACTTGTCCTCTGAATCAAAATGTAAGCAGTGTTTCTAACAAAAAGCTTCAGGAAAAAGACGATTCACATGCAGCGAATTGTCTGCTTCCACCAGTTGATGGAAAACAAATCACTGAGCTGTTCATAAGAGCTGGACCAGAGGGACGTGCTGCCTTTTCTCTGATGACCTGTGATGACTGGAGAGCCGTCACCTTTCACAGCAAAGAAACAGTGACGAGAGCAGAAAGTTCTGGCCGACACGGAACCACTAATTACCGGACTGGCAGCTACATGCTGTCTTCCTGTGCGTCTCTACATCACTCTGTGTAATTATCTTCCTCTAAATCTTCCTGCTGTGTCATTTTCTGTGCGTTCTCTGAATAACCTTTTCAATACACGTGTCCTCTATATTTTTCTTCTTCTCCTCCTCCTGTACCTCTATCTCCGTCTTGCTCTCTCTTGCATGCTCATTTATTGTCTGTATGTTTCATTTTTTTCTCTCTCTCCCTCCTTTTTTTTTTTTTCATCTCCGCTGACATTTCCAGTCCAGTGACTTCAGAAACAAACAGCACAGGCTGTAATTCTCGCTGCCGTAGAGTCTGCTTTCCGCTGGAAGCAAAGAAAACGACCAAGGACAGCTCATTAACGAGCCATTGTTCACTTCTCGGTGCGCCGGGATCAGCTTGGTTACTGATAATTTCAAAAGGGCGGCGAGTCTTATTTTCTGTCTGAAAGTGAGTTAAATTTTAACCGAAGGGCTGTTACGGCTGACTGAGAAAGCCGGCGTCGTTTTAAAAAAGCAAACACAGCCCACATCAGATGATGAATTCAGTGGGCAGAAACGGTTCATAAGGGAACCAGTGAAAAGACATGTGTGCAGGCTGAGGAGAGCTAATGAGTTAAAGAACCAGACTGTTTAATGGGCTACACACAGACACCACATCTTGAATAAATACCCTGACTCTCAAGTGATAAATCGTGATAATAAATGTCTTTATTTGGGAATTTCTGTTCCAGACCAGCACCATAATCACGGTTACCCATCAAACACCCAGCACATGCTACAGAGCTCAAACTTCAAACACGACCGAGTTTCTTCTTCATTCGATGTTTCGACATGTCACTTTCCTTCAATCAGCCTCACAAATAGCCCGTCTTCATCGATCGCATACGTTTGCACAAGCCAATCTTGGAATATGTGCAGTGAAATTTATTCTCACAATGTGATGTTTTGCAGGCACATCGATCTTGTTTTGCACCTTGCAAAGTTCCCCGGCGAATACAGGAATACATAAGCCTTGTTCATTCGAAACGCTACCAAAGTACTTTTGTAGACAAGGTGTAATAAATTCTGTTGTTTCTGAGAGAAGAAAAGTAACACAAATAAGGAATAAATGGAATGCCCTTCATTTGAAAACCAGGCTGGAGGCATCGTGCCACCGTACTGCATCTATCCTGTGATGTGCACAGTAAACTGAATGTAAAGAGGTTGAATTCATTTATTTGCATTTAGATCAGACGAAATGGTCAGCATTCTGTATTTAAAAACAGGCTCAGCTTATAAATCTTTCTTGCAGTGGTAGGAAAATTTATACTATTTTTTTTTTATAATTATCTAGTATTGGTTCTTCTTGTTTACATGATGTCTTGCTGGTGCTGTGTGGACTCACTGACAACCTGAGGAGAACAAAAAAAACAGAAAGAGAGATACTGTAAATGATAGCAGAGGCGATAAAAAGAAGGAAAAAAAAATGCAGTGTTTGCTGACAATATGTGAGCAAATTTCTCGTCGACAGTGAGCAGCCTGATACCGATGCTACCGGTGTTCAACATTCAGTGCAGGTGTTGCTCAGAGTGAAGTGCTGTGCAGGGACCAACCGGCAGTGAAGCTGCTGCTTGTTCAAGGAAGCCGGAGTTGCAAACTTTTATTCAAAGTGTCTATGCAGGGTCAGTGCAAACTACAAGATTTGGAGGAAAGCTTCTGGAAAAGCCTGTTTTTCTGCCACGTGTGAACATAAGACATGAAAAAACAGAAGGTGGGGAACAAATCGAGGCCACAAGGGGGGATTTTCTTTTTAAATCTGGTAGTTTGCTTCAACCCGGTGATGTGAGAGGATGATAGAAGGTGAATACTGGAACCAGACTTACACTTTGAGCGCCCTGGCTCATAGAATACTTCATCTGGGTAAGAATATAATAAGGAAATATGATTTGGTTGAAAACATATCAATGCTACTGGTTCTGTTTGTCTAAAGACATCTTTAAAAGTGTGTTCTCGTGTGTATTTATTGGTGTGCAGATGTGTGTGTGAGTTCAGACCTCTCCATCGCGGGTCTCGATGGTCTTGATGAGAACAGTTTTCTTGGAGTGAACCTCTGATCCGCGCTGATGTTGGGACTCAGGACTGGTCTCTGGAAGACACACATTCACACATGCAGATCTTACACCATCCCACACATTAAGCTTTCCTGCAGCTACACTGAGGTAATTCAGTCTAAAGACACCCATCTTTACTTAGGATTTCTCTCAGAAGGGTCAGTCTTATTTTAATCGAAGCAGCCACAAAACAAACACGAGGCTTTGGCAGGGATTACTTCTACATTTCAAGTGTAAACCCATCAAACAAACAGCCAAGACTGTGTGATTATTGATGTGTGGTTTGTTCTGTGAATCAAGGAGCCGTGATGGTCTATGGCGTGTCACATATCCCCACACAGTGGTCACAATGCGCCACTGCAGGCGCACTAATACCCTCAAAATAACACCTACCATATACAGTCACAGGCTATAATTAGTCTTTTTTTTATCTCTTCAATGACTCATCTGGAACGTATAATAGATTTTTTTTATTATGTGTGGAAGGAAGAATGGATACTAATCCTCCTACCTCTGAATCCAATGGAGGAGTAGGCAGACTGCACAGGCATAGTGGTGGTGATCCTGAAGAGAGAATGCACACATTTGCATTACAAGACAGTAAAAAGGATGACGTAGTATATTACTGGCTAAAAAGAAAGTCAAATAGTTATAGGACTGCCATGCACAAACCTGCTCTCCTCTCCCTCCAGCAGCTTGCGATAGGTGGCAATTTCAATATCCAGGGCCATCTTCACATTGAGCAGGTCCTGGTACTCCCTCAGGTGGCGGGCCATGTCGTCCTTTAAATCAGTGGAGAAAAGCGTGATGAGAAATCGATGACAAAAAAGTGTTTATAAAACCCCTAAATCCAGCATCACTTCTATGCCGCTCGTGTTATCCGTCGTGAAACATCTAAGCCTATTACCTTCATTTTAGCGATATCTTCCTCCAGCCTTGCAATTGTATCCTGGTACCCTGAAGCCTCGCGGCCCATGCGATCCTCCATATCTCTCATCTGGCGCAGCAGAGACTCGTTCTGCAGGGAAACGGAGAGATGAAGTTATGAAGCCTAAAATGGAATGAAAGCAACTGAAAGGAGGGAGATTAGGGCCGCGTGTCTGAGCAGAAAATGTGCCCGAAAGAGGGAAAAAAACGCCACAAATCAGATCAGTGAAGTGGAACAAAGTGAGACGAGGTGCGGCGGATGCTCACGGTGCCCTTGAGTGAGTCGATCTCGCAGGTGTAGGACTGGATCTGGTGCCTGTACTCCATGCTCTCCTGCTTGGCCTGGCGCAGCGCATCGTTGTTCTTGTTCACGGCCTGGTTCAGATCAGACACCTGACGAGAGAGAGGACGAGGTTTTAGCAGCGCAACAGCTAAAGTAGACCATCTGGTGGGTTATATATATGTGTGTGTGTGTGTGTGTGTGTGTGTGTGTGTGTGTACTCCCTCCCTACCTTGGACTTGTACCAGTCTTCAGCCTCTGCAATGTTCTTGGCAGCGATGGCCTCGTACTGCATGCGGATGTCTCTCAGAGCAGCGGTCAGGTCAGGTTTGGACATGTCCATCTGGATCTGCACCTGAGTGTCCTGTATCTGGCTCTGCAGCTCACGGATCTCCTGCAAGGTGAAGGAAAAAACAAACAGGGTTTTGTTTTGTTTTTAGGATTTTCTAGAGAAAGAAGCAGCTCGCAAAGTTCTTATTTCAGCCATGCCTGCGTTAATAATTAATGTCGAAACCACATCAACAACTAAAATTACTCTGCAATGGAAATTCTAAAACAGGAATCAACAGAACATCAGATCAATGGCATTTCCATACAGACGAAGTATAAAATGCAACACGAAATGCGCCCAACCGTGCATTAATGCAACAGGCTAATTTAGCATTGTGGGGCTAGAATTTTTAAAATTGGTAAGCTTTAGTTGCACTCAGCTGCCTTCTTGTCCAACCAAAAGCTATATTTAGCTTTGCATCTGTTCACAGACACACACACTCTTTCTCTCCGCCACACACAGCTGACAAACAGCTGACATGCTCCCTTCAACCAATCAGCAGCTCAGCATTTCTGAGAGGTCAAAGTTGAGACAAAGAAGACAAAATGACAGGAAGGGAACTCAGCTGTGCCGACATGTGTGTGGCTCAGCGTCTCGTTTGATGTCTGCGAATGAATGTTTTAGTGAAGCTTCGGTTCTGCAGGAACTATACGCATTTTCTTTACACCGATAGAGAGAGTGTGTGAGTGTGTGAATCGGCGTATTCATTGTGTTTTAACATCAGCGGGTGTGTTCGAGTGTGAAATATCTGATCCCTTGAAGATTTGCATGCCTGCCGAGACTCAGATCTGATATTACGGCGCGGTATATCATCTCAGAGAGGTGTTATATGATGCAACACACACCATCCTAGTGACACACATACTGCACACACATACAGTAGACGTAGCGGCCTCGTTGCCAGACAAAAAAAAAAGAAATGAGCAAACCTCTTCATGGATCTTCTTGAGGAAGCCAATCTCCTCTTGAAGACTCTCAATGCGTCTTTCCAGGTCCAGCCTGGCCAGAGTGGCATTGTCAACATCCTGGATACAATCACAGAAACACAAAAAAAACACACTGACATCCAGCCGTAAAGGCAGAAATATACAGCGAGAACAGAAAATTGAGAAAGTTGTGCAAGCGACCGAAGGGGGAATGAGACTGAAGGAAAGTTTCTGTTTACTTCAGGCTTTGAGGGGGGAAAATGACTGAGATATAAAGGAGCGATTTTATGGAAATAGAAGACGTACGGCTCTGAAAGCAGACAGGTTGTTCTCAGCCTCTTCCTTCTGGTGAATCTCTTCTTGAAGTCTGGGAGGAGTGACAGCAACATACAAAGAGGAAAAGAGCACAAAAAAAGAAAAGAGGAAAGTTGAAACAAAAGTGGATACAAACTGTGTGTGAGAGCATCGCTTCTTCCCCGGGGGACCACTTAGTAGACAGCTAACCTAGTTACCACTTGTCATTCCTCCAGCCTCTCTGCTCTTTTCTACACTAAACTTTTATTTGCACCCGCATCCACACTCGCTTTTAGAGTCCTAAAGCTGTGGGGCAGCTGCTGTCACACTGTCAGGAGTCAGAAGGGCAATAGAGGCCTTGTCCTTGGCTGGTTCTAGAATTAGCATTTCACTGTGCAATTTGAACAACTTGAGAATGTGCGGGGAAACAAAATGCATCCGTGCAACGTGTGCATCCTCCTATAGACACCTTTGCAGACAGCAGAGCAGGTGGGAGTGACTGGTAGCATTTTGCAGATTAGAATGATGTCACGGTTCATGGAAGTGTTTGGTAAAAAAACGCCTCGGAGTGCGTTTGTGTGCGTCTGCATTGTAAATGTTTGCAGGCGGGAGGTCTGTGCGTGCGTTTTGATCTCAGCGAGCGTAGCAGGTGCTTTGGAAAGGTTCACTCGGCGCTCCAGGCAACAGTTTAAAAAGGACTGATAAACAGAAAGCCAAGAGTGAGAGTGTGCGGCGCTGCACGCGTGAACTGGAAGCTGTGTGTGTTTTGATACAGACTTTAAGTGCTGTTGCAGTGACAGAAATCTAAATTCACTGAGCTGACCCAGTAGCCACAAATAGACTATTCAGAGAGACCCACCCCCCCATCGCACTAAAGCTCCTCTCTCTGTGTATCTGCTCGCAGTGAGTTTGGCGGACTGGCTTTCGGAATTTAAAAATTTTGGTCCACTTTTTACTCGTATTCTCTTTGTAAGCTCGCTCACAGACGAGCAGACGGCGCATATACATCTGTTCTTTCTCGTCTGTCTGCTTCTCTCACCGTCTGACTGCCTGAAACTTTATCCGTCTGTCTGAATCCACTTCATCGCTACGAGCCTGCGAGTCTGTCTCTCTCTTCGTTTTCCTCTGCTAAGTCTCTCGTGAATAAATTATAAAACACCTTTTGTAAAAAGCTGTTGGACCGTAGCACTCACTCAAGTATGCCTATTCTCAAATCTCTCCTTTGTTACTCTGTTGTTTCCCTATTCTCCGAAAGACGAGAGACGTCCTCTGGAAATCAACGATCTGTCTTTGATGCCACAAGCTGGTGTGCTTTTTGTTTTTTTTTACTGCTTTCATTGCATAGATTAAATCTAATATTTCAAAGCCTGCTCTTTTAGCACTCTCCAGCGTTCCATATTTTTTACATTTTCTCATCCTACAAAATCTAATAATGTGCCTTTAATAACAATGGGGTCCAAGGGGTCCCAGGATAGATCTACAACACCTCTGTAATACAAATGTTCGTTTGATTTTGGTGTTTTATTCTTGAGATGCTGTCATTACAGGAAACACCACAAAACTGAAGAGTTTATCTGCCCAGGCCTCCAAAAAGTCTTCAAGTGGGAGAATCAGTGACAAGAACATCACTTTTGTTTAGATCTAACAATAAAAATATTAGAAGAAGGGAGATGATTGCTTTTATTTAAAAGGTCACAAGTCAAGAAGGTTGAAACTCTTTAAGGTTCAAGTTGTTCTAACTGATTGTAGAATGTGTCAGAGGCCCTGCCAGGACTATGCAGCTGCTGTTTGTCTTTCTGGTTAGTCTCTTGCTCGTCTAACAGAGTGTCTTCTGGAAACCATAACCATAAAACCCAAAACCTTTTCTCACCATCCAATTATCCACGTATACGTACAGTTCCCTTCATGTAAGCTTACCTGAGCTTGAGTTTCTGCAGGTCGTCAGCCAGGTTGTCTCTCTCCACCTCCACTCTGGCGCGCTGGTTGGAGATGGCCTCGATCTGCCTCCTCAGCTCCCTCATCTCCTCCTCGTACATCTCAGCGACGCGCCCGGGCCCCTCGCGGCCCCTCAGCTTCTCGATCTCCACCGTCAGCGCCGCATTCTGCTGCTCCAGGAAGCGCACCTTCTCGATGTAGCTGGCGAAGCGGTCGTTCAGGTGCTGGAGCTCGGCCTTCTCGTTGGTCCTTGTGTTGAGGAAGTCCTGGTTCATGGCATCTGCCAGGTTGAAGTCGAGTTTCTCGCCGGAGAAGGTGCGCATGGCTTTGGAGGAGCCGAACCCTGCTCCCCCGGCGCCGGAGGACACCCTGTAGCTGGAGAAGGAGGGAGAACCGGTGCTCTTGACCTCGTAGACTCTGGAGGACATGTGGCTGGAAGAGGAGCTGCGGCCTCCTCCTCCTGCAGAGGAGAAGAGGGACGACATCGGGGTCGCACTGATGCCGGAGCCGAAGGTTCGGCGGTACGAGGAGGCGGACTGAGCGGAGGCGGAGTAGGACTTGCTCATGGCTGGTCGACTGGTTGCTTGGCTTGTGGTTTGGATGGAGCCGCTTCAGCTGCTGAGACCCAACTGTCCTACTGGGCAACTGGGAGGGAAACTAAGTAAAGAAATGCCAGGCACCGAGCGCAACTATTTGTAGATTCACCACACCCACTCCTACCCCCAACCCCTCCTCCATGGCATCCCTCTATTCACCCAGTCTGTACTCCCACGTCGCCACCCCTCCACTGTGCTGCAACCCCATTTGCCCTTAATGACACTTTTGACAACATTTTAAATCAGGATTTCCCCGTGGGAGTTGGATTTCCCCAGTGGAAGTTCTTCCACTGCTGTCCTAGGTTACAGGTTACTTTAATCTAGCCATCGGAAAATTATAAAGGAGTGCTCACGTGAAAAACTGTGCACAAATTTAGCTGCTGCTTGGCTACTTTAGCATAATTGCACTTGCAACTCCAATGTTTACTGCAGCACCTTAACATACTGTTCTGCTAAATGAACGTCTCATAGCACTTTGACATATTGGGCTCCTCCTTCAATATTTTATGGTACTTGTCTTTTAGCAAATCTCTATTTATTATATTATTTTTTTACTCTTTTAACCTACTGTTGACTGTTTTCTGTAGATAAATGACAAGTAAATCTTGAATATTTTGATAATTTTAGATTTTGTTCTTCTGTTTAAGTTGCTGTTGAAATCTACAGCCCAAGAATCGAACTCAATGCCTTTTTATTGACCTGACAAATCAAATTTAAGTTGCATTAATACCGTCTTGCATAAATCTGATCCGGTCCGACTGTTGCTTCCAAGACATTTTTGTGATCACTTTACTGCACAGTCTCTGGACGTGTCACCCGTTTGATTAAAGGCCTTCACCCTGTTCAGTCAATCATCTTTAATCCAGCCTTTCTTTTCTCCTCATACCTCGCCCCTCTCGGTCGCGCCTGTTGCCAGCCCTTGATTCAGCTGTCGATGGGGTCCGGTTTCAGCTGCATGAAAGACGGCCTTCTGTAAGTGTGTCCCGGATGCTTACATGACTGAGTGAATGAGAGAGTGAGTCAGCCAGTGTCTGCATTTCTGTGCAGGAACTCTCATGTGGGAAGTTGTTACAGAGACAGTGTGGACTAACACTATATGCATCATATGAGTCATCACCTGGTTTACTTTGGCATAATTTTGGCAAAGCGTCACTCAGTTAAACTAAACTTAATTCAGTTTAACTCCAGTTAAATGGAGGTAAAGACTCTTCCTGTTAAGACTAGCAGCTGATATCAAAACCCTAAAATCCAATAATTAAACCCCCGAACATGCAAAACATATGTTTAGCACTTTTCTAATCCTGCACGTCAGAATTTATTATATACAATATTTGATTTACTGCCACACCATAGCTATAGAGTTACAAAGGAGTTATGTGTTTTTCCTTGGTTATATAAGAAGCAGCATAGTTGGACTAATGCAGCCGCTGCCAGGAAGGTCACACACTCGACTTTGTCATTAGAGCTCTGCACTGGACACCGTGAGTGGGTGGACAAATCAGCGCATATCAGCCATGCACTGTCCAGTCTGATGCATTGCTGGGACGCCCCTACATCTTTATCCATCTTCGTAATATCCGCTCATAAAGCTGTTATTACCAGCCTAGTTACGAGGTGCCTAGTTACACAGACATAGCGGAGAATTGTGTTTCTGAGTCCAACGCTTTGGTTAATTTTGGCTAAACTAAATATCATCTGGCGAGCAGCGAGGATGAAGGCTCCCGGAATATGATGCGTGTAATTGCAAGGATGCGTGTTTACCTGTTAGAGAGGGAGAGAACGTGAGTGTTTGAATGAGTGCTGCTGGTCTTTAACAGACATGGCCTATCTCAGACATGCAGGCCTGCAGCTAAAAGCAGGCCCAGACTTGTGAGGCATATCTAGCCTGCCTCGTGCCATAACTGTGTGACCAGCTGTGTGTTTATGTGTTAAAAGTAATGATGTTAATGACGCCTCTAGAGCAGTAGGATGCAAAATATTCATGCGAGAGCCACCCACCAACCAAACAATGCTCTCAATAGAGTGTAAAGATCTGGGCTTATATTATTTTATATTTTTGTTTGCCAAAAATCAAATCCTCCCCAGACCTTCAACACTTAAGAAAGGCATTAAATGTTTTTAAAAAAAATGGTGTTTACGTGTGTGTACGAGCGTCCACGGGTGTAGGCGTTGTAGTTGGCGGAATCATTGTGTGTGGTCATGCAGATATTTGCGTTTCACGGAGCACTGTGCATGTCAGCTGCTAGCGGTGTCAGCTCTATTTTTAGATTTCCCGACTGAACTCCACTGGACGGACGATAAAGCGCAACACCTTCAATAAAAAAAAAACAGAGAGTAATGTGCCAGTTTTTACTGACACACTGTGAGGTAAATATAGTCACGATTAAATATCAAATGACTAAAAGATTTGTTTTAAATCGGGTGATTACGCCTATCAATTCATCCCAGGTCATTTTACAGTCAGTAAGAGCAGCTGAATGTATATAAAGATGGACAAACCCTATCGTGATGTCACGTATAGGTTTCCTGAAGAGCAGTTTTGAAGCTTAGTGTGGCGGCTCCAGCTGTCGCCATCTTGGTAGCGCCTGACCCCTCCTAAGTCCTGGATGATTTAAGAATGAGGCATGAGTAGAAATGACAACTCTGGTCCATGAACTGTCCTGTGATCATATCCAGTCGTCCCTCAAAGCAGCCCCACCCTTAATTATGCATGCCTTCAAGTCTTAGAACAAATTAAATGGCCGACTCATATGAAAATTCTTTCATGAACAGAAATTCGCTGAAGACACCAAAACCATTGCCTGTACCGGGCTGTAAACGAGGTGATTTCTGCCATAAAGTTTGTCATTTTAACACTGAGGTCTATGGAGACTGATTTGTTTTTGGAGTCAGCCTCCAGTGGTCATTTGAGGAACTGCAGATTTTAACATTTCTGCACTGACTTTGTTTTCAGCCCAAGAAACTGCTGATCATTGAGAGCAAAGTTAAACACACTGCCACAGTTAGAGCAACATTTTTTGAACAATGTGAAATTATCCTGTCAATTTGCTAGTTTACTCAGGTGAGGTAAATGTAATGGGCTTGATGTCTTGTTAATATTCTAGGTAAATGTTTTTTTTTTTTTAATTTATTTATTGTACATAATGAAATGATAATCAGTCGGGATAGAAGGAAGGGATGGGACTGATCGGGACAGTCTTTGATGTCATGTTAAACCTTAAATATTTTGTTATTTTGCTTTGGGTAAGATTAAATCAGCTACATGAAGGCCACAGAATCAGTGGCTGCAGTGTTGTGATTTGGACTGAAACGTTTGAGTCAAGAAGCAGAACCCTGATAAGGCGGCACAGTGGAAAAGAAGTTAAAAGACTTTGTGGTCTTTACCTTTTAACACCATCTTGAAATAGAGGATGAGGATTTATTCAAATGTTTCCAAACCTATTGGATGGATTACCTTCAAATTTGATCAAACATTTGCATTTCCTATGAGCTTGAATTGCAAATGATCAAGATTTCATTTGGTTTAAGTCTTTATAACTGAATACCTGCACAACTCATATTTCCATCAGTCACAGCTTGTTTGTGTTTCATGGCTAATTAGCAAATGCTAGCATGCTGACACGCAAAACTAACAAAGAGTAAACATCAACTGCTCAACATCAGCATGCCAGCGTAGCCACTGAAGTACTACTCAGGCCTTTGTGACTGAACTTATCAGCCCTCTTTCCACAGCCATCAATTTGCTTGTTGCGGTGCCAAATGTACATGTGGTCTGAGTAAGATACTGAAAAGCCTTAACACACAACATATACTGAATATGAGTCATGTAGCCTATACCATATAACTCCTCATGTAACCGCACTCATACACCGGAAATTATACAGGACCTTTTCAGGGACGATGAGAAATCATCTGATAAGCGCATGATGTGACTGGACTGTGTTATCTGCTGAGATGACAGGACGAGTCATGCCGGTGTTTTCCAGTTGGACACCACATCATCGGTGCAGGACAGAGAGTGAGCCATGTGCGAGTTGCCAAACGCCCCCAGACTCAGAACTAACACACCCGTAACCTAGAAAACAAGACTCTTAAATTAGCACGCAGATCCCGGGACGGCTGGGAAAAGAGTTATCACACAGACACAGACACATGCACGCATCAGGTCTCAGAATATCAACAGCACATAGCAGCCAAACCCTATACTCAGCCATGTCATGATTCTGTTCTGGGAAGAGGATGTAGCATTGGAGTACGAAAATATCCCCACGTAATTCCCCCCAACTTTGTTGACTGAAGTTAATGTAATCACTGCGCAGTATAGCTCTCCTCGTTGTTACTGGATTCCTTATCGCCACATGAGTGAGCCGTATTTACAGATTTGGATTCTTATCAGTTCTGCAACACCCACAGGGAGGATTGCTCTCGAGTTTATTCTGCAGCACATGACAACGCCGCCAAACATACAGCCAGAGTCATAAAACTACTATCTTCAGCAACGAGAAGAACAGGGAGTCCTGCGACAGATGGTCTGGGTCCCTATGCAACCCCCACCCACCACCCACCACCCACTCCCCTGATCACAACATCATCAAGAAAGTCTGGGATTGCACGAAGAGACAGAAGCAACAGCGACTGAATTCGAAGGACTCTGCCAGGTTCTCTGGCCTGTGCGGTTCTCAGTGTTTTTCTGAAACATAGCAGAGACACTTGAAGAGTTAATTTGCAAAAACAGATGACTCCATTTTTGTAGATTTTCAGAAAACTTATTTTTTTTATTGTTTGCTTGAGATAATATCAACCAAACTGAAGCTGAGTGGATTTGAGTCAGTAGACATGACAAACATAGAGATAACCTAAGTTTTACTGATATTGTCTCAGGTAGATGATGGAGAAGTGGGTTTTCTGAAGGTCTGTGAAGATGGAGTTACCTGTTTTTGCAAATGGACTCTTCACGTCTTTGTGGATTTGTCCTACTCTCAGGAGAATAAACACATACAGCCTCCAGTCCAGCTTGTTGAGTCATGTGACAATGTGGTCATAGTGGAAATGTAATAAGAGTGAAAGATG